TCCGGACTTACAGTCTACAAAATGTCCTGTTTTACACAGTGAAACTCTCCCTCGGCCTGTTTACGTTTCAAAAGTGATTCGCATGCCCTCATAAACAATGATGTTGCCGAATTCACAGAAATCGAAACATTCTACCAGTGGAAGTGAATGGGAGGGTGAAACATCTACGCCAAAGTTATTTTCTCAAAATGAACTCAGTGATTTGATACGGGATCTAAATTTATCAAAACAGGAATCAGAACTGTTAGCGTCAAGATTGAAAGAAAAAAATTTATTTGCACCAACAGTAACAATTACAACATACAGAACGCGAGAAAGTTAGCTATTACAATTTTTTGATGAAAATGAAGGACTGGTATATTGTACTGATATTGCGAAGCTGCTTTTAGACATGGGCTTGGAAGAATACAAACCTACTGAGTGGCGTCTTTTTTATTGACAGCTGTAAAAGAAGTTTAAAATGCGTCTTACTGCACAATTGAAATAAATTTGCATCAATTCCAATTGCCCATTCAACAAAACTCAAAGAAGGATATGAAAATGTAAAATTAGTTTTAGAAAAAATTAAATACTTGGAGCATCAATGGCCGATCTGTGTAGATTTGAAAATGGTTAATTTTTTACTTGGTCAACAAAGTGGATACACGTAATACCCTTGCTTCCTTTGTATGTGGGACAGTAGAGCAAAGCAACTTCATTGGGAACAAGATGTTTGGCCTGCAAGAAATTCTCTAACTGTCGGTAAAGCCAATGTCATAAGGGAACCGTTGGTGAACAGAGACAAAATCATACTTTCACCATTACATATTAAGTTAGGAATGGAAAAGCAATTCGTTAAAGATTTGGACAAGGAAGGGGATTTTTTTAAATACATTTGTCGAAAATTTCTGAAGCTTAGTATGGAAAAGTTGAAAGGTGGAATATTTGATGGTCCTCAAATACGGCAATTGATAAAAGACGCAGATTTTATTAAAGTTATGACTGTTCCGGATAGTGAAGCTTGGGAAAGTTTTGTGTTGGTAATTGAAAATTTCCTAGGTAACCATAAAGCACTAAATTATGAAGAAATTGTACAAAATATGCTGACAAACTTTCAGACTCTAGGAGCAAATATGAGTATCAATTTACACTATCTCCGCAATCATTTGGATAAATTTCTAGATAATTTAGGAAATTATAGTGAGGAACAAGAAAGCGGTTCCACTAGGATCTGAAAGTAATGGAAGAAAGATATCAGGGTCGATGGGACTGTTATATGATGGCAGATTACTGCTGGTCTTTAAAAAGAGATTTTCCCCGGAAAAATTATAAAAGAAAAGCTCTTAAAAGGCGTTTTATGGAAATATAACATGTTTTCCAAATTTTCCTCTCTATTTACTTCGATATATCATATTTTTATCCAAATAAAACTGACATTATAAATATATCTGTTATTTTGTTTCTCGTTTTCCGATTTTTGTAATGTAAAATAAAAATAAGTATTTAAAAAAAAAACGAAAGCAAATCTTACAAAATCATTCATAATTTCATGAATTGTGAGTATAAATATATCCAAAATCAATCTTATATCTAGGGCAACAAAACCACTGTAGACCAGTGTTAATAAGTGAAATAAAAATGCAGTCTTATCCTAAAAGTGAAAGAAATATATCAATCCATAGTGCAAAACCACGAAAAAGAAAGTTCCATGGAAATCAACACTGTAATAACGATGAAGAAAATACAGAGCCGCAGAGTACAAGTGCGAAAAAACTCTCTACCGCTGACGAAGATGATGTCCATTACAGTGCGCTTCGAGGCTATCGGTTAATCGAGTTTTTTTACCGTGTTTACAGCATTGTCAGATATTTTGATATGTCGCGATTGTAAATTACCTGTGAAATTTGAAGAAAGTGGTAACAGAGGTTTAGGTTTTAAAATCGTCGTGATATGCAAGTGTGGTCTCAGAAACATTTTTTCTAGACCATTAATCAATAATGGATATGAAGTAAATCGCAGAATTGTGTTTGTGATGCGTCTTTTAGGTGTTGCTAGAGAGGGAATCAACTTATTTTGTAATATGATGGACATTTGTAATGGTTTATCTGAAAGTACATACAATGCTATCGTCTTGCTGTTACACACCACTACACAGTCATTATTTAAAGCTTCTTGTGTAAAAGCTATCGACGAAGAAAAAAGTGAGAATGAAAAGCATGAGCGGCCAATCTTAAATTTAAAAGTTTCTGGGGACGGTACATGGAAAAAGCGGGGTTTTAAATCGATGTATGGGGTCACAACCCTTATTGGATATTACAGTGGTAAAGTAATTGATTTAGTCGTTAAAAGTAGTTTTTGTGCAGCTTGTGCTCGTTGGAAAAATAAAACTGACACTGAAGAATATCGTCAATGGTTCGAAGAATATGAACCAAACTGCCAAGAAAACCATAAAGGATCTTCTGGTGCTATGGAAGTCGAAGCTGTAAAGGAAATGTTTGCACGATCTGAAGAATTATTTGGTGTCAAATACGGAAACTACATAGGGGATGGGGATTCAAAAACCTTCAAAGGAATTCTCGATTTGAATCCGTATGGCGACGAATTTCATGTTGTGAAAAGCGAATGCATCGAACATGTTCAGAAGAGGATGGGTACTCGACTCTGAAAAACTAGAACAGACAATCACCTGGGAGGAAGAGATAAATTGACGGAAGCTTTAATTAAAAAATTATCGTTATATTACGGATTGTCCATTCGAAGAAACGTTAATAGTGCGAAAGACATGAAAGATGCGATCATGGCCACTTACTATCACATGTGCTCTACAGATGATAAACCAAGACACGAGTACTGTCCATCTGGTTCCGATAGCTGGTGCAAGTGGCGCAAAGCTGAAGCATTAGGGGAAAACCCCAAAGAAATTAAACATCCAGCTCCATTACATCCTGATGTTCAAACTCATATTAAGCCGATTTTTGAGGATTTATCTTGGGATGACTTGCTTGAAAGATGTTTAGGTGGTCACACTCAGAATGCAAATGAATGTTATAATTCTACTGTCTGGCGACTCTATCCAAAACATCTGAACTCTGGACTGAAGATCGTAGAAATTAGTGCTTTTATATCTGCAGGGTTGTTCAATGATGGATTTAACTTTATCTTACGAGTTATGAACTCAATGCAAATAGTTATTGGCCGCCAATGCATGTCGTACAGAGAAAAAATCGATGATCAAAGGGTGAGTCGAGAAAATCGCCGCAGCTCTTTGACGACCAAACAAGCTCGTCAAGCATGTCTACAGGAACTTACAAAGAAAAACGAGTTTTATGAACGTACCGAAGGACTTCTATATGGCCCTGGAATCGCTGATTAATCGGTAAGCCACTGTAATCATACTGTTTCTGTGTGTCAAAACTTTAAACGCGTTTTTCTCGAAACGACTTTTTTGAAATTTGCGGGCGGGATAACTCAAAAAGTTCTCAACCGATTCTAATGAAATTTTTTACATGTGTACTTTATAGTAATAGTTTCTAGTTAAACCTCAAAAATTCCAAAAAAATTTTCAAAAATTAACCCTTTTTACCAAAAAACCATTGAAAAAAGGGTAAAAAATCGAAATTTTTTTTTCTGAGGTGTGCCAATTTACGATTTTTTGACTTTTTTTGATTTTTTGTGGTTTAACTAGAAGATATATGTTTTATGAACACGTACAAACTAATTTTTTTAATTTCAGATCACCGTACGAGAAGTGAGAACGCCCGCAAACTGATGTCTTTTTCTGAGAGGGTCTCAGCAGATTCATTTTTACGGCGGCCATTTTGAAAAAAAAAATAAAAAAAAAATTTTTTTCTGTACTTGAATATGTAATAAATAACCCCACAAAATTTTAAAATGATTCAGTTATTCCTTCCCAGTTTATAAAGTCCTCAAAAAACGGTAAAAATTAAGGCGTTTACATGTATCGCCGGCCTTAAATTGTAGTTAGGAATTAAACAGTTTAACAAGTTAAAAACAATAAGTTTGATTCGGCTAATTTTTTGAGAACTTATATGCATATATGACGTTAAAAATTTACAAGTTTTATACTTTTAGCTACAAATTATTTCTTTTTTGTGAATATAAAAAAAAAAAAATAAATTGAACTACTATAAATATTAATACCGAGGGTTTTTGAACCAATTTAATAAATGTATGTTCTAAAAAAAAATTCTCGATAATTCAATACAATGATACTTTGTAACAAATCAAAAAAAGCTGATGAATGCAAATTTTATTTTTTATTTTTACTGTTATGAAAACAATTTATTATCTTTAATAGTAATCTCTGAAAGCCATTTAATCGTAGTAACTCATGAAAATGAATCAAATAGTGCAGAAAGCGATGATATTGAAATAGAAATTGCGCCGTTCGCGGTAAGTAATTCAACAGTAATAAAAGACACTCTTTGAAATCATATCCGCATGTATTATCGTAAAAACTATTACTTTCAGTTATCTCTACGGCTAAATAATAATCATATCTGCGGCGCCACTATCATAAATTCTAAATGGGGTATCACAGCTGCTCATTGTGTTAGATCGTAAGTTATACATTTAAAAATCCTTTATTTTAACTTTCATGTTTTTTCAAAAAAGAAATTAATAGTTTAACAAAGTAAGGTCCAACTTTATCTAGAATGGCAATTAAACTTTCTTTGATATAAAAATTTATGTAATAAAGTAAATCGAATTGGCATGCAAAAAATTTATTAAATTTCAGTATAAGTGCTAACAAATAAATTTAAATTTAAAAGTTATAATGATTTAAGATCAATTGCATCAGTACAAAACTACACAGTGCGAAGTGGATCAAAATATCGTGAAACTGGCGGGTCAATTCATCAACTAACCGAAATCGTGTCTCATGAAAATTACAGCAGTCTGAATTCTGACTATGACGTAGCTGTGTTTCAAGTTGAGCCGAAGTTCAAATTCAGCTCTCTATCTCAGCCAATCACACTGCCTGAAGATGATGCTGATGTAACTTGGGGAGCTGCTATTGGCTGGGGAGGTTTTGATGTAAGAAGACTTAAAAAGCTTAATAAATCGAAATAAGCATGCCTGAAGTTCTCGTATTATATACTGAAGGAAAAAATTAATTTTGAAAAAAATGAGCAATGTTGTAATAAGAAATTAATTTGTTGAATATTTTAAACAATTTTATTTCTTGGCTGAAAAAATAAAAATTATTCTTACAGTAACTTTTTTGTGGAAAAAAAGTTTTCTAGATTTGGAAAAAAATCATTTTGCATTAAAATTTGCAAGTTGTCTATCTAAAATTATTTTTTTCCAAATCAATAAACTTTTTTTTTTAACAAAAAAATTACAGTGAGTAGAATTTCTCTTCCTTCAGCTAAGAAATAAATTTATTTAAAATTTTTAATAAATTAATTTTTTATGTCAACATTGCTCATTTTTTTCAAAATTAATTTTTTTCTCTTAGAATAGGAAATTGATCAAAGTAAACTTGAAATATAGAAAAAATTTTCACTATAAACTTTAATGTTATTTTCAATTTTTTAATAACTTTATCTCAAGTATCGATAGAAAAAAAAAATTATTATTTTCTGTAAAAGAAGAAATTGAAAAAATAATTTCAACAAGTCAATCATCAATAAATTAATTTTATTTACAATTCAAAGTATGTTTAAATTTTTTCCGCGGATAGTATTTTTTCACAACTTCTAACAAGGCAGATGAAAAGATTAACTCGTGACAGGCAAACATCGGAACCGTGTAACGAGTACTTTGGTATAATGAGGTAAATTCGGAGTAGCTCGTCGGATTTCAGGATTCGGACGGGTTATTGGGATACAGTTCTCGTTAAAATTAATACAATTTATTTCTGGAGCGAACAGTAATCTTTATTAACATTTAAAATAATCTCAAATACAAATATATTTCTATATTTATTTCCTCGTTCTAACGGCTCCGACTCAACCTGTATTTCCTTAGCAAAGGTCTACAGGGAATGCGAGGAGCTCGTGGTCCCGGCAGCGGTGCTCGATCGTATTACAATTTTATTTTACATACGAGAACACGGCCTCGGTTACCTCAAAGCGTCTACGAGTCGTCTCTACTGTTAACGCCAGTGCAACTAACCAGGAGTCGACGAGTCGCTAGGTCCCTATTCTTATACTCTAATTTACTCTGCTGAAGGCTGCTTCTTTCTCTGCTTGCCTCCTTGGTATCACCGTTCACACGACGGCTGTGTGGATCTCTGCTGAGCCTCTTTGGCTACACCGTTAACACGACGGCTGTGAATGTCTCCGCAGATGATCCCGTGCAACTCAATAGCTCATGTATTCCACTTGATATTGTAGTTGGGCGCCGAATCACTGCTGCTCGACCTCTTTGACTGCACCGTTCACACGACGGCTGTAAATACTTATGAAGAAGATGATCCTGTGCCACTCAATAGCTCATGTATTCCACTTGCTATTGTAGCTGGACACTGAATCACCACTACTGCTGCTAAAGAATATCCCTAAGGATATAATGATTCTATGTAACTTTACTAGCTCATGTACTCCACTCGCTAGGATAGTTGAACACTGAATGACGTCCGAAGCTCCGGGCCCCGGTTTTATAGGCATTTCTTCCCGCGCGTCCGCGCCACTAGCGCTTCCTGTCCCGTCTTCAGTGCGCACGCCTTCTATGATGCGCGCGCCCTTCATTGTGGTGCGCGCGCAGCGCAGCAGCTATCCCTACTTTCACAGATGTACACTTGTATATTTTTTGACTGTTCCTCGAAATTTATTTTTAATATATTTTATTGGTAATAATTATTATTATTTATAATAATTATTAAAATATTTTTTCTTTATTTCGATAATAATAATAATAATTATTATTATTATTATTATTTATAATTTAAACGAATGGTTACAACCGTATTCCTTTAACAGCAATGAGAGTAAAGAAACTAGTAAAATTTAATTTCAAGTATCCAATAAAGGCAATGAAATTTTTTTGTTTTTAAATTGAAGCTCTAATAATGCTGAGAATAAATATAATTTTTAAATAATTTAATAATCCAAAAATATTATTTAACATGAAAAAAGTCTGTAAAATTCAATGAAGTTATATTTTAGGATAAAATTTAAAAGATAAATTAAAGGATAAAATTAAAAGATAAATAGATTTAAAAAATAGTTTTTTTCAAATTTTATCGTATTTACCTCTCCATAAAAACTTGAAAAATCTACACCATAAGCTATTAAAACCAATTTTTAATCTAAAAATAGCAAGTAATCGATTTAAAAAAAATTTTAATAAATTAAGCAGATATTTTTATTTTTAAAATTGTGTTTTTGTAGCATTTATGTGACAAAACGTGATCTTAATTGTTAGGGGATAATAAAAAATTTGCGTTAGCATTTAAGGCATGCAATTTTAAAAGTAAAAAACCAATAAATATAGTCTAATTCTTATTTTTTAATAAATATACCAGGTTCAATTTGAAAATGTACTATCAGATACACTAAAGATGGTACTTTTGCCAAAAGTCAATTGGGACGAATGTGTAGCCGATTATATAAATATTTTTACAGTTACCCCTCGGCAACTGTGTTACGGTTACAAGGAAGGTGGTCGAGATACGTGCAAGGTAATTTAATAGTTTTTTCTTGATTAAAAAATATATTAAATCTTTAAAAAAAATACATTTTTTAGGGAGATTCCGGTGGTCCATTATTCAATCGAGATAAAATTCTAATTGGAATCATATCCTGGGGGGACGATTGTGCCCAATCAAATTCACCGGGAATTTATACTTATGTTCAGCTCATCAAAGATTGGATAGATTTGCATACAAAAGATTAAAAAATTTGTACAAAAATTTATGAGTATGTTAAACTGCTGTAAGAAAATTGAGAATTAAATGGAAATTTTGACTGTTTGATCATCTATGATTTCTATTTTTGAATATTTGTATCGCAGTAAGTTTTCTGTTCTCTTGACAGACCACTCAGAATATCCAATTTTGTAGAATTTTGGAAGTTTGTCAATTCCAGCTGCGTCCGCTAAATAATCGTTGTATTCCCACTGAAGAGCTTCCAAAGCATGAGCTTTGTTGGTTTTAACTTTCGAATCTTCTATCATAACTTCTAGAGATGGCAACGTAACTTGCCCTCTTAAAAGCTTTAAGAAATATTGAACCTACAAGGAAAAAATTATAAGTGAAAATTAAAGAAATAGTTTTGTAAAAATTTATTATTTATAAAGAATTATTATTAAAGTTAAAGACATGAAAATATAAAAATTATATTATTAAATAATGTCATATTTACAAAGAAACATTGTTTAATTTAAAGGCATGAAGATGGAAAAATTTTATTGTAGAATAATGTTATATTTACAAAAAAAAACTACTGTTAAATTTACAGGAATGGATTTCTAAAAATTAGATACTTGGGAAAAAGAAATTTTACATAAGAGTTTTGGCCATTAATAATTTTATACACACTCATAAAAAAATTAATTTAATTTCAGAAAAATATTCTCAAATAAAGAATATATAATTTTAAAGAGTTTGATAATCTTGAATCAAGTAGAAAAATTCTTAAATCAAGTGAAATTTAGTTGCAACAACAACTTCTTAGTTCAATAATGATCAAACTCTTCAAAATAATATTTCTTTTAAATTAATTTATTTATTTATCAGTGTAGTTTTTACTTGCATTTTTTCAATAGAAAATTTCCAAATTAGCTAAGACTAAATTAAAAAATTTTTGTATGTCAATTTAACATTTTTTTTTCACCTGCCAAATTTACATTTTTTGCAATGTAAATTCTACACTTTTTCCTGATGTAAGGTAAAAGCCCCAATACCTGCTCAAGAACCAGTACCAGCTCCCTCCATGTATTTGTATATATCTATATTCACAAATGCAGGTATATACAAATACATGAGCAGGTACTGGTTCCTGAGCAGCTACTGGGGCTCTTACCTTGTAGTTGACGGTAACCGGACTCTATATCCCCGACAAAATATCCTTGTCAAAATTTAATTAGAGTATTGTTTTAACTTGCACAGATTCCAGATTCTGTCGAATTGGCATGCACCTTTTATCCATGTGATTATTTTAGTTAATATTCATTGAAAATTTCAATATCTAATCATTGTAACATTCCATGACATTTTTTGTCCGAGGATATTTTGTCCAAGGATATAGAGTCATAGAACCGTAGTTGACAATATTCTAAAAATGTAAATTTGACTATTATATTTTGACAGGAGTAAATTTTCTAAATAAATTAAACAGATTTATCTGTAATTTTGAAAGGACTTTTTTCTGTGTAAAGTTTTTTTAATGTTTCAAATAAAAAATTTATCTATTAGATAATTTTGAACTAAAATTAAAAGAAACTCTGTAACTCATATTGCTGCAATATTTCTCCCCATGTATAACAATCTATTTTCTGTCTCTTTCTTTATATTTCTTTTATTTTTCTTTATTATTACTGTTTATACATAATTTCCCTCTTAATTTTTGTAATATCAATATGTACAAAGCCGTTTGGCGTTAAAAGTATAATATAAATAATAAAATTTAGCTGTCACCTGAATATGAAACATTGGAAAAGGTATAACTTTAAATGGAATCCCCACAAAAGCCATTTTTGGATGTTTGATGTTAATTAAATGATTAAAAAGCGTATTAACATGATCATTGTCAACCTTTATATGACAAGTTTCATCCAAAAATGGAAATGAGAAGTTATATCCCGTACAATAGAGCAAATCATCGGCAACAACAGTTGTGGCATCTGTTAAATGAAATTCATTGCCGTTGACAAACTTTACTCTTGTAATTTCAGTCATATTTTGTGGTAAAGCACTTGAAAATCTGAAAAAAAAGTGCGTGGTTTCAACCCTGATTGAGAAATCTAATAAAAAATGATTAAAAATATTTTTAAACAATTTTCTGATTAACATGTAGATATACACTTTGCATGGATTGAATCATTTCAAATTTGATTCTATAATCAGACAATAGGTAATATATAAATTTTCAAAATTTCTTAGATTATTTTTATTACCGAGGGCCATTGTGGCTTAAATAAACATGAGTTGCATATCCAGTAATTTCAATACCAATATCAATACCAGATGGACCAGCTCCCAGAATAATTACTGTTTTTCCAGTATATTTTTCGGGGCATCGATAATCATGACTATGCATCACATCTCCTGAAAATGTTTCTATACCCGAAATTTTCGGAATTTTTGGCTCCGAATAATGTCTGTCATAAAAAAAAAAAAAAAAAAAAAAAAAAAAAAAAAAAAAAAAAAAAAAAAACAATGATAATTATGAGTTTGTCAAATGAAACTTTATGTTTAAAAATTATTTCCATCACTCACCCATTACAAATTAAAACGGCGTCAAAATTATTTTCTTCGACCAGATCAGTTTTTAAATTTTTAATTGTTACCTTCCATTCTGTTTTGCGCCAATCTTCTTCTTTTAGAATCGGTTCAACGTTGATGATCTTCATATTGAACTGTTAAGCATTTGATAATTAACATAATTGATATACTACAAAAGAGTCGAGAGTTAAAAAGACACTTTTATGGTTTTTTAAGAGATTTTCTTGTACATTTTAGACTTATAGAACAGAGATCTTAAAAAATAAAACCTATTTTTGATTTTTGAATTTTTTTATCAGTAAAATTTGAAATTAATTAATGTGTTGACTTTCTTCAAATACTTACAAGCAAAAACCATGAAAAAACTCTTTAATTGTAAATCCCAAGTAAAAAGCCAAGTTTTAACAGAAAACATAAAACTAAAATCATTTTTCTGACTGGGTTTTTGGAAACATGTAATCACCAAACGTTGTCAGAAATATTCTTTTATACTTTTTTGTTCTCAAGAATTTTTTCAACTTTTTTGATTTAGTGCTACGCTATAAAATAAATCAGAAACTATTTTTTTCTGTGCTTTGCTTATAACTTTTTGAATAATGGTTCAAATTGAAACTTGAAATTTCTTTTCCTAAAAAAGGCTGGTAAAAAAAATAGTCAAAGTGTTTTCAAGAATAACTTTCGAGTTTGAAGTTATAAATATTATTTATTTTAAGTAATTGAATGTTTTAAAAATTTTCTATTCCTAACTATTGACTTTTAAACATTTTTTAGTCTAGTCTCGTAGTAATATCTTCTATAATTACTTTTTTTTTAATAAAAAAAATGGCCTATTTTCAACATTTTTTTTTTAATATAAAAAATGAAATATTTTATTCAAACTTTTTACTGTCTTAAAGATACATGTTAATAAGGGATTACTAAAATTAAAAAAAAAAAATATTAAAAACTCTGCCATTGTGAAGTTATTTCCGACGAGCCCTCGGAAAAAAAATGCATCCGCGTTAACAGCAGAACTCCCAGCAGGATCATTTAAAGTGAAAAAAAAAATACGTGCTTTAGTTAAGACTTCAAACTAGGACTTGGACGAAGAAAAAAAAAATTGGATTCTGGGCAGAGATTTTTACAAAAAAATGAAAAATTTCGCGGCATTTTTTTTTTTTAAATAGTTGTAATTGAAAAAAAAAAAACAAAAATCCTTCGTTCCAGACCTTATAAATTATATCTTGAAGACCTGTCTGAAATTTCATAAAGATCGGTCGAGTAGTTCTCGAGAAATCTTGAAAACCGTCTTTGAAAACATAGTTTTGAGAAAAACGCGTTTAAGGCGCCTTGAACGTACAACTTTTTAAAATTGTATCTCCGAAACTATTATTCGGATTGCAGTCAACTAGTCAGACTGACAACATTCCGAATTAATAAATTACTAGAACTTAGAAAGTAAATATTAAATGTACATTTCCGCGATCCCGCAATAAAAGAATTCGTCGGTTATGTAGTCTGCAAAAGTACAATGAATGTAAAATTCTTAGTCCGTTGATTGGATAGCTACATGTAAAGTTAAATTTTGGAAACCTCTCAATGACTTTTTCTCCGCTGCCAAAAAGACGATTGTTGTAAGAAAATACACGAACATTCCTATATACACGAAGATGCCACCAAATTTGGAGTCTGTAGAAGTTACAGGTTGGAAATTAAAATTTTAGATTTTAACACCCATCCCCGCAATTCCTGTTGGAAGTAGACTTTATTGAAATCCATTTTAAGATGATCTTTATGTGAATAATAAAAGATTCCTACCATATTTAGAATTTTTAGAAGCTATATTTCGACATTGAAATTTTTTATTGTTAACACCTACCCCCGCGAACCTTATTGGAGGTGATTCATTGTAAAATCCACTCTAAGATCATTTTTATATTACATATAGAACACTCTCACTAAATTTGAAGTCTACAGGAGCTATCGCTTGAAAATTGAATATTTTCATTGTTAACGCCCCCGCAATCTTCTTTGGGGTGGGATATCGTTAAATTTGTTCATAAATCATTTTTACATCACTTATAGAAAATTCCTACAAAATTTGGAGCTTGTAGGAGCTTTAGCTGGAAAATTAAAAATATTAATTGTCAATACCAACCCCCGCAACCCCCTACGGGGTGAGCTATCGTAAAATTCGTTCATAGCCTATTTCTACACCTCTTACAGAAGATTCCTACCAAATTTGAAGTCTATAGGAGCTATAGTTTAAAAACGGGAATTGTTCATTGTTAACGCCCCCGCAATTCCCTTTGGGAGATGAATTTCTAAAAATCTATTCATAGCTGACCTCTACATAGCAAAAGTAATATTCCTACCAAGTTTCACGTTTCTAAGTCTTATGGTTCCCGAGATTTCGTGGTGAGTGACTATATAGATAGGAATTCTTCGATTATCATCGAAATTTTTAACTTTTTATCGGACTTTTTTAAAATTTTCTTACATACAAAACAACATCCTGACAATTCTGAAGATAAAAAAAAAAGCCCAATTAGTCCAGCCGTTCTCCACTACCGTGAGTAGATTCTGAGCTGAATGTAAAAAACCATAATCCGTTTAATATACTCTGTTGAAATCTATGAAAACAAAAGAATCAAGAGAAAATGCTTATCTTTTGTTTTTATTAGCGGGATAAATGTTCATAAAAGTAAAACAGCAATAAAAAAATGAAGGAATGTTGAAATTCAAAAAATAGATAGCCATAAACCATCTAGGAAAAATTTCGCATTGAATGGTGGTAGTTTCATGTCGATACGATCAGTGGTTTAGGCGTGATTGAGCCTCAAACGAAGACCATTTTCATTATATATATATATATATATATGTAATACAGCTTCAGGTAATTCAAAATGTGTTTTTAAAACAAATATTCTTGAAATATTTCAATCTGAGATATTTGAATTATCTTCTGTGGACGCCAATGACTAGATGCCCTTGGATAGCCTCCTTGAGTTGCTGACTTCTGTAATTGCCGCTGCTAGTCACCGTTGTACCGCTGTGTTGTTGTCTGAGAGCCTTGTACCGCCTTCTGTAGTCGCCGTTGACTGGTCAGCCTTGAACTGCTGGATCGAGTCGTTGCTTGAAAGCCTCGTACCGCCTTCTATGATTGCTGTTGACTAATCAGCCTTGAACCGCTGGATCGAGTCGTCGCTTGAAAGCCTCGTACCGCCTTCTATGATTGCTGTTGATCAGACACCGTTGAACCGCTGCGTCGAGTCCTTGCTTGAAAGTCTTGCACCGCCTTCTGTGGTTGCCGTTGACTGGTCCCTCGTTAAACAGCTTCTCCTTGAATGACTTCTTCTGGATCTGTGAAATACTTTATGTAAAAGAGCAAAAGCTCTTTAGTCAGATATAATCTGAGAACGCTTACGTTTTTCAACTCAGATCTTTGGATAATTTTACTACTCCACAGAATCGGTTATATCAGCGAATAATTCCGTCGCACTTGCGAGCGCGGAGCGCGACTGTGCGTGCCCTCACGGCGGATCTCCGAACTAATATTCGGACTTAGAATATTTTCTACTGCGTTACAAAATTTATTTAATTTGTTAAATAATTTTTTTTTTTTTTTTTTTTTTTTTTTTTTTTTTAATTAATTTCTACCCGTTACAAATCTTTCAAAGTCACAAAGTCTCAATAAATTAAAAAACATAACAACGAAAATTTGTACGCCAGAATTAATGAACAGACGAACACTCATTTAGTCGAAAAATGTAAATAATGTTATAATTAGATTAAAAATTTTTTTTAATTAATTATTTTAATTAATTTTTTTTAATTAATTTTGTTTTAATTTACAAGCATGTATGAAAAACATTTAAATTTCATGCTTGTAAAGGTGGACCATCTAACAAAAATTTCCAATTTTTTGGATGAGTAATTTTCGGCCGAATCATTATTCGGATGAATATACGTCGGAACGAACCTTTTTCGAAATCAAATTAATTTTAACTCTTGAGGAATATAAGATTTATATTTACTTATATTCGAAAACCCGGCGTTTTATAATTTACAAAATTGTTTTTCGGCTGACATTCTATTCAAGTTAATGTATTTTATAAACTTTGAATGTAGCGGAATTTTAAATTTTCTAGAGTTTTAATAATTTGGAATGTTGTCGATCTGACTGGTTGACCGCAACCCTATTATTCGGATCGATTTGAAACTTTAGGACAATATTTTATAGAGATGTTCTAGAATTTAATAAGACAATAAAAAAAAATCGATTTTTTGAAACCGTGAAACCCATGTAACCCCTTAATAAGTAAAATTATTTATAATAACCTGAATGAATTGACAAAGGTTGAAATGATCGGCATAATCTAGCAAATATTTTAAAACTTGCTCATGAGTTCCACAACTGGGTTCAGTTTGGTCCATGCGTTGAAAGTCCGGAAAATTCATCAGTTGTAGAGGCAAATTAGTTCTGATGCATCAAACAAAATTTACTCATCAAATTTAATTATTTTATTAATATAACTTCTCATATTAAAAATTAAAAATTCATTAATATTACCTAAGATTTTTATACATACTGGAATGTATAGGATGACCAAGATCCGCTTGAGTTTTTTCGCTGTAAACCCAAGTTCCACCGATCACTTCCGACTGTTCAAATACCGCGGGCTCAAAGGAAATCAGGTCGTTTGACAAATGCCGGATTGCACACAAACCAGCTGCGCCGGCACCAATAACACAAATTTTTATTTTTTTCCTAGTCGTCTCAATATTTCCACTCATTTTAAGTTTCTTTTTTTTAGCGAATTAAGAAAAATATTTGTCAGTTAAAAAAACTTTTTCATACTACTTTGCTGAAAACTCAAGAGCTTGTCTCTTTATTGTTACCTCGAAAGTAAATTTAATAACGCATTACGCCTGTGATGTCATATCACGGTTTAGTTGAATTGCGACTGGCGCCGCCACGCGAGCACTGATGATACCCCTTTGGTAGCGCGAAATTTAAAATTAGATTTTATTTATAATTATAAAAAAACTTTTGGGAAAGCCCCACAACCTAGGTCTAGACTTTTAGCTATTAGTAAAAAAAGGTTATTGTTAAAATGTATTTTTACTCTCTGAAAATTTATCACAATAGACTAGGAATAATAAGATAGAAAAGAGGATTAAGCCATAAATATATAAATTTACTACCTTATTGCTCTCAATATAAGTAATTATAGAAATATTAGAAAGTATATGGGGCATTCCACGCCAAATCAACCACTTTTGACCCTGACCCCTTTTGATTTGGCTGAAAGTTTACCATCCTTTTCTACCCTATCAAAAACGTCTCTCATAATATTTTCAAATTTTTTTACCCAACCAAAAAAAAGTTCCGAATTTTTCAAAAAAACCGCTTTTTTATTTTTAAATTGCCATAACTTTTTCAAAAATTGGCTTATCGGGACGTTTTTTTTTTCAAAATTTTTGTTATTAAATGTTTTTTTGGAAAAAAATTCGAGGATTCCCGTAAATTTTTGGACCGATGTTATGAAAAATACGACAAAAGAAAAAAAATTTTTTTTTTAATTGAAAAGAAAAAATAAAAATCGGAAAAACACCTTTCTGGAAATTTCATAATATCTGTAAAAAATGTTTTTGATCCATTTTTCAATTTATTTCGTAGTTAGGAAAATTAAAAAAAAATCTAGAATAAATGAATTTTTAGCTTTTATTATCAAAAAACTTTCATCTGTTACAAATCCTATTTTTTTAGGTAGATGTCTTTAAATATCTATTTATTGTAGTCGGTCTCATATCGTTATTTGCAAAATTATGATGAAAAATACATTTTAGGACATTATTGCCTTTTAATAACGTGTTTTTTTTTAATATTCAAACGAGAAATCTACCTATCCATGTCGGGTATGGCCAAATGGCGCTTTTTTTGCTTAGCTGAGGAAAATGTTTTTATTAGTTTAAGAATTATTGCATTTCAGACATTATAGTCATGTATTAAACCATTTGATAAAACCGTTTTAATTATAAAACTTAGAGTATCGGAGAATTGTTCATTTCAACGCCCACCATTCATTAAGCATTAAATAAAAAAAACAATTGTTTTTCAATTTTTTCTTTGATTTAAAAAAAATTGATTTTCTCGATGTTAAACATGTTCAACTTTTGGTTCTATACTTTTTTCTTGTTTTTTGAGGATTCCCGTAAATTTTTGGACCGGTGTTATGAAAAATACGACAAAAAAAAAAAATTTTTTTTTTTTTAATTGAAAAGAAAAAATAGAAATCGCAAAAACACCTTTCTGAAAATTTCATGATATCTGTAAAAAATGTCAAAGTTTAGAATGAGAAAAAGAAAAAAGAAACTAAAAATGGTATTCATCAAAAAATTCGGATTTTTTTCTAAAAATTTTAAAAATAACGATGAAGATAGCTTTAAAAAATTTTTTTATATTTTTTTCCAAAAAGAACATTTAATAACAAAAATTTTGAAAAAAAAAACGTCCCGATAAGCCAATTTTTGAAAAAGTTATCGCAATTTAAAAATAAAAAAGCGGTTTTTTTGAAAAATTCGGAACTTTTTTTTTGGTTGGGTAAAAAAATTTGAAAAAATTATGAGAGACGTTTTTGATAGGGTAGAAAAGGATGGTAAACTTTCAGCCAAATCAAAAGGGGTCAGGGTCAAAAGTGGTCGATTTGGCGTGGAATGCTCCATATTTTAATCTCTTAAGGAATATAAAATATTGTATAAAAAATAAGGGAAGATAGTCTGAGCCGATTAGTGACCCTCATTTATGACGAGTCCGGTTCAACCACTCAGTCCGGTAAGCTAGGACCCAGTAGGAAGGAGAAGGACCAATCAACGTTGCCAAAAGTCCAGTACAACGGAATACTTAGATAGTAGGGAGAGTTGCCCCCGCCACTTCTAGTGATATGAGTCGAACTTAAACATATTTGAGAAAATCCAGAATAGTATTCGAGCTCAGACTTATCACCTCGTTTCTAATTTTATGTAAAGTCTTTTGAATACATACTTCAATTTAGTTAATCTAATTCCGTTCAATTATTTATTTAATTAATATTCACATATTATCATCTTCCTCATCCTATAAATTCCCGTTGATAAAGTTGAGTATTTCAATATTCCCGGGCGAATCAAAGACCACGTCAGTAACTTTAAATTTAAACAAAGATTTCTATCGTTGTCCACCAGGAGGAGGACATAACACGCCCAAAGACGAGTTTAGTTATATATCTTGTTGTAAAGCCACCGGAAGTCACACGTACCACACAATCCTAATCCTAATATAAAATTGAGATGAAATGTATGTGGCATCAAACTATTCGCAACGTGATTGGTCGAATATATCATAAGCATGAAAATATATGCAAAGTCTATAGTCAGACGCGCGCTTGCGCGCGTAAATTTGAATTCTATCCTAATATAAAATTGAGATGAAATGTATGTGGCATCAAACTATTCGCAACGTGATTGGTCGAATATATCATAAGCATGAAAATATATGCAAAGTCTATAGTCAGACGCGCGCTTGCGCGCGTAAATTTGAATTCTATCCTAATAATATAAAATTGAGATGAAATGTATGTGGCATCAAACTATTCGCAACGTGATTGGTCGAATATATCATAAGCATGAAAATATATGCAAAGTCTATAGTCAGACGCGCGCTTGCGCGCGTAAATTTGAATTCTAGTATTTAAAAATTAAAGATAAGAATTAAAATAAAAAATGGAATTACTTTTATTGATATAATTATTTTTATAATAAAATTTCGCTTAGATAAGGGAAGAATATAAATTTTTAATAAAAATTGTTTGATTAAATTTTTATAAACAATTTATTTTATTTTTTTTATTAATATTAATTTTTTTTATAAGTAATTAAATTATTTTATTTAATAGTATCCAGTTCTGAGCGAATTATATTTTTTATTTCACTTATAGTTTTATTATATAATAGAGTACGTAATAAAAATTGATGAATATTTAACGAAAATAATAATAATAATAGTAAATTGTGATTAGATACTAAGTTTAATTTTTTACCTGACATTTCTTTTTTTAATTTAAATTTACAATGTGTTTATTATAATTATGTATTAATAAAATAGTCAACTATTATTGAATAACATAAAATTATTATTTATACTCTATAAAAGTACTGACGGATGAAAAAAAATAATTTTTTTTTTTTTAAATAATCGGAAAAATATTAAAAAAATTTAGATCTTTAAAAATCTTATACTTCAACTCAAAAATTAGATCAAATGGGTACTTATTTTTTTTTATACTAATCTAGAGAAAAAAGTTTTTAGAATTTTACATAAACGATATTACAGAAAAAAATGTCTTAAAATCAATAGTAAAAGTTTTTATATTTCTTAATCCGTTAAAAATTTTTTACTAATTTTACACTAACTTTCTATTCATATTTTTTTCGATTTTTTATGATTAAAATTATTTTTAATAAAAACAATTTTTGTTTTTAAAATTTATAAGGACATAAATAAAAAATAAAATCAGTTTTATTTCAAGATGCTTCTTTGGAAAAAATAAAAAAAAAAACAAAATTAATGGAATTAAAAAAAAAAAATCATTTGTTAATGAAGTAAATATTAATTAACATGATAAAATTTTCACAGAAAATCCGAGTACAAGATTCTTGATTTAAAATTTTTTACAAAAAATAATACCAGTTCACTTGATGAAAATTTTGTAAATCACTTGATTTAAAATAAAAGATATATTATTCTATAATATCAATTATTACCATGAAAATAAAAAAATGGAATGAATAATAATAACCAAAAGACTTGATATTTTTTTTATCATTAATTGTTTTAATAACATTTGGAGATTAAAAAGACGGCTACAAAACCACTTCCTGTTATAGAAAAATACTTAACAAAAAAAATTAAAAAAAAAGAACCTAGTTTATTAATAGATTAATTAAAAAAAATTACTTGATGAACTTAAATTAACAATATATTTACAAAAAATTAATTCCCATATATTTAATTATTTTAGAATAGATCCTACAATTTTATATCTATGTCGAGTGATATACTGAAAATATGTAATAATGGATTATTTAAAAACATTCACGCATCCTTTAATCGCTCACTTTATAATAATCACTTTTCGTCTTTTTTTTAGTCCCATTGATCACGTATACGGCAAATATATTTCTAAGAAGAAAATATAATGATGCATTCTCAATCATTCACACGAATATTACAGTGTATATAGCGTTAGTAATCGATTTATTAAATTGTTTATTAATTATTAAAATAGATAATAAATATTAATATTTATCTATTCAGTTATTATTATAATTATAATATAATGTAAATGCTCAACTTTTTTTTTTGGATTTTAATACCGTACAAAAAATGAATAATCGAACATGATTTATTTTTAGACAGTCAAAATTATCAAACGAATTCGTTGTTTCGAATTCTTATTAAAAATTTTTTTATTCTTATTATAATTATAATTTTTGATACATTAAACAAGCAATAGTCTTACTAAAAAATGTTTGATTGACAGTTTTTAAATAAAAAAGATTTTTTTTCGGGCGGAATATTTTCAATTTTTTTTTTTTTGTACCCTAACTTACTTTCGATTTTAAAAATTCGAAAAACATATATTTACAATTTAACGTTTTCTTATTTTAATAACTATTAACTGCAAAGTCTTATTAAATTTTTAATCAACATATTATAAAAATAATATAAGGAAGAACAATTTTTATTATTTAATTTGATACCAAAATAATAATCCACTTGGTGAATAAAATAAAAAAAAATAAATAAAATAAATCAAAAGGCTAATCACTGGATAATGGAAGAACAATGTGATTATAATGCCATTTATAATATTTATAATTAATTTTTTTGGTGAGTGATTTCATAATAAAAGTGTGTGTATTTTATTTTTTCAACCCTCGCTTACGGAAGACAGTGAACTTCGCGTTGAACCTGCTGTGTGAGTTAAATCCGGAAGATCTGATGGTAGACATAAAGGAGTTGAATTTGGACCAAATATTGCTTCTTGTTCTTCCAATTGTAATACAAATATTTCTTCCAATCTCTGAAAAATTTTTAATAAATAAATATTTATTCAATAAAATTATTTTTATATTTTCCAACTGGACTTAAAAATTTTTTTTTTTGTGGATCAGAGATAAAAAAATCTTTTATACAAATTTTGAAAATATAACTAACCTTCTATATAATTAATTTTAAATTCACTTATTTGCCAATTCCGTTGTTTTTTTTTCTCTATTCATTTTTCAAAAGGAATTTTTTTTTAAATACAACAAAAATGAATGAATATTTTCCCCAAGACAAAAACACAAAAAAAAAAAAGCATGATAACTATTACATATAATTTTTTTCTGCTTTAAATTAAATTAACTAAATTGCAATATTCCCCTCTAATCCACAAGCGATTTTTCTAACAAAATCTAAATGAACAAAAACCCATTTTTTGCGAGACATTGATCACAAAATGACTTAATACTAATAATAATAATCTATACATAAATGTGTGTTTAAATATTTAACAATAAAATAAATTTATAAAGCAAAACAAATAAAATAAGCAAAAAGGAAAAAAGCAGATAATATTAATACGCAGGATACAATAAGCTATATAATAGATAAGGATTATTTGCGAGATGGCGGGAAGATAACACTAGAAGGTCTGGATAGTGTTCCAGCAATGGAATTAGTTTCTGAGCCATTTCTAAGTGTTACTCTTGGGATACTGATAGGAGTCGGTGAATTAGGAGAGGAGCGTGTAAGTTTTGGGGACAGTTTCCAGATGTCTGTTGTTGACATCGTTCTCTGTGTAAGAGTATCAAGAGAAATGCGGGAATGCCACGACGATAGGTAATCTTTGTAACGTAACTCCCATGCTTCTACTTCACTTGCCAGTTCCGCCTCTAAATTCTACAACAGGTTAATTATTTAATTAACTTATTTATCGGGTTTATTTTAAGGTAGTTTAGTATCCGTAAACCATTTTATTTCAGGAGTTTTAGGATTTTTTTTTACGTGCATTAAAGTATATAATAGTCTTTTGGATAAAATTAAGATAGTTGTCGTGGTTAAGGCATATCGTCAGAAAATTCTAAATTTTTGTATACTTATTAAGGACATGATGATACAATTATCCTTAAAATTTGAAGTCGATTGACCACCTATAACCCGAGATGAATTCAATTAAAAATTGGATATTTAACATTGATTGCATACGCTCTCTGCAGTTCTGTACCAGTTTTTTAGTTATAAAAAAAAATTACTGTCAGAAACTTTCAAAAAAATGACAGCTTTTTAATGTATTTGTTGTGAGTTTAAAAAAAATTTTTTTTTATTTTTGACCGTCTAATTATTTAAAAAGAAACAATTGTATGGGTTGCGTCTCCACGGGTACAGTCTTGCGTAAAAATTTTGGATTATTTAGCTACAAGCTCATATACTTTTGCGGCGCGTATAATCTATAATTTTTTGACAATATTGTACTATAACAACTATCTTAAGAAAATAATTTCGGGTCAAGTGTAAGATAGTGTGGCGCAAAGAAACCGACTATGTGTACAATATAATTTAATATCATTATTTTAACGTTTTGAGTCATTAGGATTTAAAAAAATGACTAATTCTACAAATTAAATAAACATCATCCGTAGGATGATAGTAAATATTATATTTTTTAATTAAATAAAATATTGCAATCTAACTCTCTTGGTCTTTAATTATATTAAAAAATTTGTAAATAAATAATAGTTTAAAAAGTTAAACGAGGTTTAATAAAAAAAAAATAAGTTTAAAATTAGAATAGAGATATTATTAAATTAATTACAGTCGAGTCGCGTTATGAGCCCGGCTTGTTTTCTTTTTTTTTTTTAACCAGACTCGCGTTAATATGAGAGAGACACTAAGAGGGCTCATAACGCAACTCGATTGTAATTCAATTGTAAAAAAATGCTTAGATGTTCTTCAAAACATTTTTTTAATCGATTTAAGTTTACAATTAAATAAATTGAATATATTTAATTTTAGAATTTTCTATCAATTAAATATTTACTAAAATTGATATCAAATACCTCAGGCTTCTTCTGTAATATAATTAATTTTTTTTTAGATTTTTAAACTATGATTTATTTTTTAAGTATCATATAAAAATATATTTGTTAGTTAAATTTTATGAACCGTCTTAAAAAATCAACTCGATAAAAAATTTTTTAATTAGAAAATTTTCAAAAATTATATTTTAGGTTGAAAATTATAAACATTCGAAAAATTAAAATCGAAAATATTATTTCAAGTAGCTCAAGATTTTTTAAACTTTTAAAGATGCCGAATAAATATTTCTAAATTAAAATACAGTCATAATAATTTTCTAATTTTTATTAATGTTTCAACTTTCATTTAACTTAATCGGAAACATTTTAAATGCTGTACTTTTAAAATTAAAAAAATCATGAGTAATCCCAAATAAATTTTTTGTCGAGCCGACTTGAAACATGATAAACTAACATATTTTTATAGAAGACAATAAAAGAACATAACCGGTTTTTTGCGCTACCCTAGTGTAAGAGATTTGGCTACCAAACTACCTTAAAGTTTTGGATAATCCTCTAGCACTTTAATAAAAAACTGAATTAATAATCAAATAAAATAAAAAAATAAAAAAAGGCTTAAAATAAAAATAAAAAAGTAATAAATGGACATATTTATATTACCTGCTTTCGAGGTTTCAACAGAGCTTTCCACTCCCTGAGCTCTTTAGTATAAGTTTCCTCCTGCTCTTTAAGTTTCATTGTTTCATGCTCCATCAGCATCTTCCTTTTCTCATTTTGCAACTGCTCAAGCTCTTTAATAGTAGCATCACTTTGGGCTCGCATTTCTTCCAACTGCCTCGCGTGCTTAAGCTCAAATCTCTGCTGTTCAGCGCGATACCGTTTTTTCTCATTTTCTTGAAATTTTTTAAGTTTCTCTCGCTCGGCATCTGGATCTGGTGTGAGTGTAGTTGAAATAGAAATTCTCATAGATTCTCTGAACATCATTTCCCGTGCTTTCATTTCATTACGAATTCTCTTGGGTAAATTTCTGCGCTCAACCGTTTGACGTTTAATCAATTCTTCTTCTTTCCTTAAATTCATTCGTTTCATCTGTTCCAACTCTTTATCGTGCCTTATAAGCATTTGATGTCGTTGTAAAAAAAATATATCTTTAAGTTGTTTTTTCAACAGTTGCTGTTTTTCATGAATTTGCCGTTCTTCCAACTCCCAAATAGCAGACTCACGAGCGCGCATAAGTTGTTGCTTTTGTTGTAAAAATTGCCGTTCCATTAACGCTATTTTTTCACGATGAGAATCAGATAATCTTCGTAATGTACTATCATGACTTTCATGCAATTTTTCAACATAAATTTTTTCTCTTTCTTCATGCTCGGCTTCTAGTTTTTCTTTTTTAGCTTTGAATGCATTCTTTCGTTTTTCCTTTGGCATTAAATCAACCTCTTGTTTTAAAAGTCTTAGCTCTTGCTTCAACCCCTCACGGAATTGCTTCAATTCCCGATCTTGTTCACCGCGTATTTTCCTAGAAGATAAACGTAGATCCGCCTCCTGCTGAGCCTCAGCCCGTTCAATTTGTTGCCGCTGATTTTTAGCCAAGCTTTCCAAATCAGTATCCGCGTTACGCTCCAACATCTGTCTCTCTTGTTCGAATTTTCTTTCCTGCTGGTCTTTTGTAAACTGAGATTTCTGCGTCAAATCTTGGAACTGTTTTTGTTCCATTTTTTGCAGCATTTTAAGTTCTCTCAATTCCTGCTTACGGAATATTTGATCGTCATACACGCGTCCATTTTCGTCGTCACCATAAATAACCTTAGAAGTTGTTGTTGTGACAACAATACCGTCAATTTCAAATTTACGCGTTCTTTTTCTCGTTTTCTTCTTCAAATTCATCAACTGTATATCTTCTTTCGTTCTGGTACGTGTTACCTCTCGAGTATACTCAGGTTTACGTCTCAGAACAACAGTGTCAACTTCTTCCGATTGACGAGATTCTGTGTGATTTTCTTTATTAGATCCACGACTGTCTTGACTAATTGTCGTTGAAATAGACTCAGCATCCGAACGGTCGATACTTTTGTTTGGAGTATGAGACCGGGTAGAACTCGAGTCGCTGTGAGACCTCGAGCCATCGTAACACTCCGATGAGATTCGTTTTGTTTTCAATTCTTTTGGTTTGTTGGTAATTCCATTCATCTTCTTCAAATTACCATTAACTTCATCAACATCCGAGGACTCCACGGTAGTACCTGTAATAGTTATTGAATTTTTAGTTTCTTCTCCGCTACACTGATAAGGTAAAGTACCCAGTACTTGAACACTTATAAAAATGGGACCAGTACTTGAACAGACTTTTCAAATTGTTGGAATAGAAAATCCGTATATTTATTATGAGTAATACGCGCATGTTATAATTATTCAATGATACAGTAATTGATTTCTGGAAGTTTTTTCAATTATAAATTAAATTAATTATATTTTTGCTAACTTAAAAGTTGACATGTCGAGAATAGCCGATAGATGTCATTTTTTTTTCATGAAAAAGGTACAAAATCGTAAACCGAACAATCAGTAAAAAAAAAACGGTATATCATTATTTTAAGTCAAAAAAATTGTACCACCCAATGAAATAGTCTTTTCTATAAATAATACATCGCGTGCATAATGTCAAAAGGACGTGTCACAGCAGTTAGATAGGGTTCCATGCCAAAAGGGCGTATAAAAAAAATTTTTTTTTTGCCATTCTTTTTATAATCGCTCGAAACGTCAAGATCGTGGCTTTAGAAAATTATCGGTCTAAAACCAAAAGGGCGTATAAAAAATAATCAAGATTTTTCATAATTTCGTACAACAGTCTTCAAAATTGTCCGGAGAAAGTTTGTGAAAAAAAAAAAGTTTGAAAAAGTCAATATTTTCGATGGTAGTAAATTTAAATTTTCACCATTTTGGACACTTCAATGATAAAAGAAGCATATGAATTAAAAATTTTTTCGCGTACTAAAATTTTATATTTTTTATAAATTTCCTTCTTATTCGTTGCATAAAATTGTAGTTAAAATCCATAATATGTATATATAGAATGAAAAACATCTTATTATAAGTAAGAAATTATTAACTAATCATTACAAAATTTTTTGAGCTGAGTATAGCTGAATATAGATCTTATGAAAACTCTATTTTTAAAAAACAGGGTAAAACCAATAACTTCCCGCTTTTAGAAAATTTTTAATTTTCTTAACGGGAAGTTAAAAATTATACGCCCTTTTGGCTTTAGATAACTAAATTCTCAGTGTTCTAAAGCCAAAAGGGCGTATAACTTGAGACATACGCTTTTTTGGCTTTGGAATTTTTTTTTTTTCATTTTAAGGCTTAGAACTTGTTTACAAAACGATTGGCACAAAAAAAAAAATTATACGCCCTTTTGGATTTGTAAAGCCAAAAGGGCGTATAACTTTAATCCGCCCTTTTGGCATTAGGCACGCGACATATTTTTTGCAAAGACATAAACTATAATTTTTATATTAAATTTTAGCGTTTAACTATACTTCCAAATTTTCAAAGCAATACCCAGAACTTGAACAAGCTGGGACCGTATAATTTTAACAGCACTCTAATCTCTAATAGGTTTATAGACTAGTGATCAGCATTGTGATTTGTATTAATTACTGCAAATTAAATAAGTTTTATAGCTAAAAATTAGTGTAGTTAAAAATTATTGAACGTTTTGAATTGAGTTTTTTTTATTTATAATTGAAAATTTGCTTTGTCATTTATAAAAAATGTAATTAAAAAATTAAACACAAATATTCCTCATTTTTAGATGAACATATTAAATATTCATATTATTCAATAATATGTTATAATTCTTTTGATGTTTCAATAAAACGTTGAAAATTTTTGCTGTGCCTACTGGCATATATTTAATTAGGTCAACTACTGCTCCCGGAGTGTTTAATTACTGCGGCTTGTCAGAATTGATTGTTCAACTACTACTTCTTTTATAGTCTATCTTAGAAACGTTGTTAAAATATAAATATTAAATTATCTGCGTTATTTCGCGCTTCAATAAATTTAAAATTGTTTATACTTTTATGAAAATCACTAATTTGAACTAATAATTACATCTTTATATATTAAAAATAGGGTAAAATACGTTTTACTTTGAAACTTGTTCAACTACTGGGTACTTTACCTCAGAAGGATTTTTTTGGGAGTAACAAATTGATTTCTTAAAAGATTTCTAAGTGATTTTTTAGGGAATAAAAAATATTTCTTAATAATTAAAAATACTTATTAAATACAAAGAAATCATTTCGTAAATTACCGTAAGCTGGTCCAGATTTGATGATGTTCTTGGAGCCAAGGATTGATGAGTCTTTAACCTGCTCTTTTTCATCGCCGACAGTCACCACAGATACGTGACTAGTATCCTGAAGTTCATCGACAATCGGGCTAACAATTACCACCTCGGATTCATCCAATTTTTTTCCAATTTGCTTGGACACTTCTGTTACAACAATCGGCTGTTCTTGAGGCGTATATTCCAGTGAATCCAGGCTTGTAAACCCATCGTCGTCAGTTGAGCTTTCGTTTACTTGAGTTTTGTTTGTTTCATTAGCGACAATCACCACTTCTGATGACGGAGGTCGCAAAGGAGGCGTAGACGTTGCGTCTATCAAAACCGGCGGGTGAGTCGTTACAACAGTGACTTGACTTATGTTGGATGCTAAGCTATTAGACAAGTCTGGAGATTCAGATGTTATCCGGACAGTCGTCGATGATGATGATGATCGAACGTCCACGTCTAGAGATTTTCCTGTTATAACTACTACGTCGCTGCTGTCTCTTCTCGATGTACTCCGGTTGCCGACATTGCGGTTTGGAGTTGACGTTATTACGGACACATTCAAATTTGAGTCGCGATTGGAACTGTCGACTGTTGATAAATCACGGTCATGAGAAAATGGACTCTGGAATTCAGGAGCGAATTTACTGTCCGAAGAATCTAATCTTGATGAATCAATACTACGGCTCTTTGTTAATTCACTTTTTGGAGGCTGCTCATAGTCTGTTTTTATGTTTTCTACAGAACTAGCTTTTGAATTTTTGTCGATTACGATTGGAGGCTGGTACTTGTCTGTAACCATTGAAATACGCTTTTCTAAAACTGCTGTCAGTTTTTCTTCCACTGATCGACGCTTTGCTTCCAAATTTTTAGTGCTAGGTCGTTGTTTTTCGGGTTTTTGACTTTCTTGAGCTCTGTTGAACAAAAAAGTTATTATTTTAATATAAGTTCAAATTTTTACATTCTAGTTTGCTGGATTTCATTTTTTTTTTTAATATTATCGATAACTTTGAATATTTATTTTTTCTAAAGACTGGTTTTTATAATACTTTATATTTTTTAGTTTATTGGCTGCCCAGTCTAATACAACAATTTTTTCTCTATTTTTTCGTAATATTGTTAGCCTGTATTTCCCTTCAGCCATAAACAATTTATCCTCAATTCATATCTAAATTTGTCATTAGAGATGAATTTGACTGATGGTCCTGTGGTCTGGGCCGTCCGAATTATTTTTTCAGTCAATTTTATATCTAATGACAAATTTAGATATGAATTGAGGATAAATTGTTTATGCCTGGAGAGAAATACAGGCTAATAATATTACGAAAAATTAGAGAAAAAATTGTTGTATTAGACTGGACAGCCAACAAACTAAAAAATATAAAGTATTATCGATAACATTGTTGTAAATTAAATAAAAAATATCTCAATTAAAGTAAAAGATAAAAAAAAACTTTCCAAAATTAATGAAAGTCATATATAATATTTTGGCTACTGCAATAATTAAAATAAAAAAATTATTTAGATTCTACATTTGAAAATTTTTTTCATTTCAAAATTTTTACGTAAAAAATTATAGATAAAAAATTTTGATGTAATTAAAATCAAATTTTTCTCAAAATAAAGAGTAAACAAGAATCTTATTATTTTAAGAAAAAAAAAATATCAATTGTATAATTGTAATTTTATCTCTAATAACTTCAAACAATATTACTAGATTTAAATTGACAAATTCTCTAAATTTCAAATTGCGTATTTTAATTAATTTTTTTTTTTTTTTTTTTGAAGAATTAATATTAATGTACTTTTTATGACGTTACAATACTACAATTATTACTGTTACAAATATGTACTTATATTTGTATTATTTATATACATTAGCATTTCACAAACTATGTACGAAACTAAGTCAAGAAATTTTTTTTGTTGAAGTAAATTATAAAGTTCAAAAATTTTTCTCTTGAATTAAGTTAATTTTTTGAGACTTCCCACTTTATCGGCTGATAAATTTTTGAGTTTTAAATTTCTTCACTTTTTTTATGTGTATTCTCAAAATATTAATAAATATCTTGTAAAACAAATATGTAGTAAAAATATTGTTTGCCTTTTTTTTACGACATTTCAAAAAGTACCTAAAACTTATGCCTCTACTTAAAATAATTCTCTTAATTTTTTTCTTACAGTGTATAGTTGTAAAAGACTAAATTTATTTTATTAAGGAAGTTCCATGGCAAGAAAAAGATACCAATAGGTTATGGCTATTGGTTTCTTTCTCACACACTAGTGCTGCCTCTCTTTACAGACTATCGCTTACTTACTTCCACTCACGTAAAATATCGAAAGTCGCTAACTTCAAACATTTTTTATAAAAAAATGAATTCCACTCGTTTGTTATTTTTGATAAAAAATACTTGCTATAACTTCAATTAAATATTGTCAGTTTTTCAAAAAAATCCTAAGAAAAGTATGGTTGTATGGTTATTCAATAAAATGTTCACTCTAATTACGGTCAGGATAGGGAATACATGTTAGATGTACGATTTTTAACTGCTAATATTTCGAAAATTAGCACCACAAGGACTATTAAAAAAAATGTATTCGTATCGAGAATACTTAAAAGTACGCGTATTCAAAAATTGAAGAATATTGTAAAAAAAAGTGATTTTTCACGGAACCTCCTTAATAATTCTAAAAGAGCTAGGCTCTACGATAAAATTTATTCATCTATCTGTAAAAATCTCACCTATTTGATTCTTCAGTAGAATCTTGTTTCGGAGTAAATAATGTTTCTGAACTCTCCTCAGTCTTAAGAACCGATTCAATTTTCTCTTTAATATCATCCTTACAGTCATTTTTCTTGACACTCGTTTCAGCTGCATCTTCAACCTCATCTGTCATCTTTTTATCTACCGACGCTACTGAAGACACTGCGGAAATATTCAAATTATTTTCTACGGGTTTAAGTTTTTCTTGGTCCTTATTATCATCAAGTGAACATGAACGCTCATTCGCTTCTCCAGAACTCGACTTTTCGGGAACTTTAGCAGCGCATTCAGCGTCCTCGCTTTTGCTATTTTGTCGCATTGCTGGTGGTGGAGGTGGTGCTGGTCCTTTATCGCGAGACGAACGGCGTTCACTTAATTCACACGATGCTGGAGGTTTTGGTGCCTTTAGATTAAAAAATTTTCATTAATTAAATTTTAAAATATATATTGTCGATGTAATTATTGAAACAATTATCAAAGTAAATCTTACAGTTTTTTTGTCAACAGACGAAGCAATATTTTCTTTAGATTCTGCTTTACGAAGTTTTTTATTCTTTTCTTCTTTTTCACCCTCACGATTAATCTCACGTTTGTTGCTTTCTTCTTTCTTCGGTGATTCCGGCGACACAAGATTCTCCCTTTCAACAACTGAAAATAATAAAGAAATTAGTAATTTTTTTTTTTTTTTAATATTTAAGGATGGAGTCTAGTAGGTCATTTTCGAAAATTCTATTTTAATTTTACATTTTTCGAATGTATATGCATTTAAGAATTCCCCGGGATGTATTAAATGTGTCGGGCGATGGCTCGCAGATTAAATTTTAGTAAGATTTTTTATGATTTTTTATTTAAAAAACTTGAGCTGATTCTTTTAAAATTTTAACCACATATTCTACACATAAATACTTACAAAATAAACTATCGTCATGTTAAAATATTGAGTTTTACTAATTTTTTTTTTTTTACAAATAATTATAGAGAAAAAAATATTTATTCAATATTTTGATTTTTGGTACTTAATATTAACAAAGTTGTTAAAAATTAATATTAATAGTCTATTTTGTAGCCATTGCCATACCGAATCCAAAACATTTCGGTTTTTAGGTAGATTTCTTTAGAAATTTATCTGTTGTAGCCGGTCTCATGTCGTAATTTTAAAAAAATTTTGTCATAATATGTTTCATTTCATCGAGTAATGTCGAAAAATGGCATTGGCTCAAAAGTTTATTTATGTATTTTTGTGATATAACGCGCGATGTAAGCAGGATTGCGCCCACAGTTCTCAACCTATCTTTATGAAATTTTGTGGGCTCATTCTGTGGATCAATACTAAGATCAAATTCGAAGATGAGGAAAATCGGCCGGTTAGTTTACGAGTTGTGGGTGTTTGAAAATTTTTTTTATTTTTTAAAAATTTTGAATTTCGTATATTTTATGGAAATAATTTTCCAGATGTAAAAGATAGATGAAATCTATTAAATTTATCTCAAACGTCATTTAATTACCTTTAATTTAAGCTATTATTCATCTAGTTTTGATGATTTTTTTAATTAATTCCGTGATTTTAAAAATTAGAAAAAATTTTTTAATGAACGCATTTCGGCCTTTTTTCTTTGAATAATTTTTAAGCCGTAAAAATTACCTTAAATCTACTAAATTTATTTTAAAGTTCACATGATTACCTTTAATTTAAGCTATTATTCGTCGACTTTTAATACTTTTTTCAATTCATTTCGTAGTTGGGAAAATTAAAAAAAAATCAAGAATAAATGAATTTTTAGCTTTTATCATCAAATGACTTTCATCTGTTATAAATCCTATTTTTTGAGTAGATGTCTTTGAATATCTATTTGTTGTAGTCGATCTCATATCGTTATTTGCAAAAATATAATAAAAAAAATAAGTTTTAAGACATTATTGACTTTTAATAACGTGTTTTTTCAATATTCAAATAAGAAATCTACCTATCCATGTCGGATGTGGCCGAATGGCGCTTTTTTGTTTCGGACAAGGCGTTGCCGAAATATCTTGTAGGAACCGACCTATCTCTGATTTATTGAATTCCGTTTGAGTGCGAATTTTTTGTAAAAAAACAGAAAAAAATTTTTATTTTTGTAATTTGAGACTTGATTCATCATCCCTATAAATTTTTTAAACATATCTTTCATAGCGAGCTCACGAGAAATTCCCAAAAATCTCCTATTTTTTTAGCTGACGAACTAGACTACATTATTAATAATATCTTTAAATGTAAATTAATTTTATAAATATTTTACGTTTAACTTCAGTGTCGCTGCGCATCGACGTTGAATCATCTCCGAGTTGGTCCAACTCCAGAGGTAACTGCGACGTGCGTTGCTCCTAAAATAATAAGAAAAAATAATTAAAATACAATAGATACAATTAAAAGAAAAAATTTTCAACTACTGTAAAAAGCTATCTTAATTATAATAAAAATCCTAGACATCCAACCGCCATGACATCCATCGATTCCTTGAAAATTAGCTAAAAACATTCACATTAAATATTTAAAATTTATTTCCGTAAGTTATAAATTAATGAATAAAAAATTGTTTTTAACAATTCAAAATTTATTTTTGTGCCTACTATTTAAATTTATTATCAAATTATTTTATTAATTAATTTTATTGTCCAATTTCTAAATTTACTACCATCTAAAAATTTTATTTTGGGTAGCTATGTATATTGAAGATATAAATAAAATATTTTGACCAAAATGAAGATTGAAGTTTAACAAATTTGAAATGGGGAAGAAGCTACTAACCTGAAGACAAGAGTTTGAGTGATGGGGCTGGTGAGGCCCGGGAGAGCCGCATGCACAACCAAAGTTAAAAAATTATGACATTCATAAAAATATTTAAAATTATCCATTGAAGTATACATTAAACATTAATAAAAATAATTAACTAACAATAGTCAAGTTAACTTAATCAAGTCAGGTATCTAGCAATGCAGCCAATAAGAAAATAAAATAACAGCTTAGAATAAACTCTATTTTTTACTAAAACATTATTCATCACATCTAATAAGGAACATTCTATTTAACATTATTTTAATTTGTAAAAATATATTATCAGTAATAATTACTATATATTTATAATAAAAAAAAAAAAATTACAAGGTACAAAAATAGCGACATATGCTACAGACGGATTATTAAAAAATCAATCACTATTTCCAATGCAAGGTGTAGCAATAAAGTAAAACGATTTTTTTAACATCGATGCTATATATTGTTGTCTCGGGAGCAGCTTACCAATCCGTTGATATTGTTCTCTGTGTTTTTTTGCCTTCTTAGCCTTCTATTATTTCGCAAGCGTGTAAAATAATTTTTATAAAAATAATTTATTCAGAAAACAACTAAAGACGATTAATTACAAGCCTAATGCTTGTTCATTTATTTTTACATTTGTTATTTCATAAATTGTAACTTTTTTTTCTCTCGCGCATATTTCTTCCTAACATGCTAAATGTTTGGATAATTTACAAGGTTAAATGGACGTAATAAAATTATTATTAGTTAGTTTAGTTTTATTTAATTTCAAAAATTTATAATAAGAATTAATGTTATTAATGAAGTTTAAAATTTGTTTTTTTTTGTAATGTTAAACTTATAAACTGAATAGTTGTCAGAGTGACACGAAGAAACATTTTTTTTCGAGTCTCTTGTGAAAAAATATTGGTTTATCATGTTTTGAGAGCTCTCCTGAAAATTTTTTCTATTGAGTAATATTGAAGAATAAAAATAAAATAAGTTTGAGATATGAATAAAAATTTAAAAAAAAAAATTGTTACTAAAGTTTTAACTAACAAATATTTATTTAAAATCTTTGAAAGCTAAAAAAATTTTGAGTGACTTTTAGAAATAAAAATTTTCACTTAATTAAATTTTTAGAACGCAGAGAAAAAAAATTACAGAATTTTTACTAAATTTCATATAAAAATTACAATCTGAGAAAGTAATCTTCAACTCATACAAAAAATTAGAATTATAAAAAAATTAAAAGTCAGAATTTCTATTTTTTATTATTATCAAAGTTATAATGTTTTAGTTACAAAAAATTTTTATTTTTAGAATAAAGTCTCAACTTACTAATTAAGTTTAAATGTAATTGTTTATAACTTTTTATTAGAGATTACTATTTTTTTTATCGCAACAATAATTTTTACAACCAACTTTTTTTCTCTGTAATGAACATAATTTTTCACCGAAAAAAAAATTTAAAGCCAAAAAATTATAATTTTCGACAATTTTCAAGATTTAAAAAAATTTTGAGCGAACCCTAAAAAATTTTTTATCCATCTGATCTTTGAAGAGAGCTTTAAAAAACACAACAAACTAACATATTTTCATAACAAACTTGCAAAAAAAAAAAATATTCAATATTTTGTGCCACCCACAGAAGATTCAATTTTAAAATAATAATAAAATTCTTATGATAAAAATCTAATAATTTATTCATAAGTACCGTTTTATACAAAAACTTTAATTCTCTCCCCTCTCATCTTAAATCTAGCTTGAAATTTTTTCTCTTTGATCTTAAATGAAATATTTCATTTTATCATTTCATGCTTCACACAATCTAATTGTATTATAATGACTGGTTTTCTCTGGTATATTTTTTTTTTTTTCATTAAATCAATAATTAGTATTAATAATTTTTTTTCTTCAGTCATTTATATTTTTAATAATAGTATTTTTAATAATAATAGTTTAATAAAAAATGAAATTTAATTCTCTGGATTATGAATAAATTATTAGCGTTAATACTGATAAAAATAATTTTTCCGAGTACTACTAGCGTGACTATCATAACGTCCATTATTCCTGAGTACAATTATACTATAAATAGTTAAACGATTGGGAGGCTCAAGTTGCAAAATTATTGATTAATTTCTATTGTGAAATTACATATTAAAAAAAACGTGCGAGGAGTTGACATTTTAATTCCAAGGATAGCTAATTTATTATAACTATTTTGTGTAGTGAATAGTAAAAGTAAAAGAAAAAAAAAACTTACTTCAGCTTCCTCATCAACAAGCTCTTCTTCAACAACATCAGCTTTATACTCTAACAGTAGGTCCCGAATGGGCTTTGAATCAAGTGTGCGATTAATAAATGGATGCTTGAGAAGTTCATCTGCTGTTGGTCGTGTCTGAGGATCTTTTATCAATGCTTTAGCAATAAAATCATTGAACTCTTTACTCCATTTTCCGGGCTGCTCCAGCTTTGGTGGATCGCTTTTTTGAATTTTTAAAAGTACTCGCATTGGAGACATTTCATGATTTGGCGGTTCCATTTGAGCAAATTCTATAAGTGTTATTCCAAGTGACCAAATGTCGACCTAAAATTTTTATTTTTTTATTTCAATAAAATTCATTATAATAAATAAGTTTGTTAAATTTTTTTTAATAATTACTTTGAAGTCATAAGGATTATCACGAAATGTTTCACATAAAACAACTTCCGGAGCCATCCAATAAGGCGTACCAATAAAAGTATCATGTTTCTGCAACGTGTGTTTATTTTTTGCGGATACACCAAAGTCAGCTAAAAGATTAATGTGAAAAATTATATTAATAAATATTTAAATTGCCATTGTACAAAAAGAGAATTTAGTTCATGGTAAATGTAACATGTCTCTTATTTTAAAACGATAATTTAATCATAAATTCATCTCATTATTGCATTATATTTTATACATGTGTAATGACCATAAATGAATTTATAATGAGAAGCAGTATAAAAATCTATTTCTCAACAGATTTTCATGCAAATCAATGAAGATTTTTTTATGATGAAAAGAAATAGACATAAATTCATTCTCTGTTTAAAAACAATTTTTGTAAAGAAAAAAAATTCATTTTAAAATTGAATTTTTTTTTATTATTTTATTTTTAATAAAATTAAAAAAAAAATTCTCAATATCGGTTTCATAAATTGAAGTATTGATAAATATATTACATGAGTTAATTAAAAAGAATATGAAATCTAAAGGTCACTAATTTATTATTTTAAAAAAATATTCTATGAATAAAATTTACTATTAAACAGCTGAGATGATAAATAATAATTAAAATTCAGTTAATGTCTCAGCGCTTCTATTTTTGTGAGCATGTAATTTCAATTTAATAAATTTAATTTGATTTTTACATAAACTGAGAGAAAAAATTTCTTTTAAAATTTTTATTTGAAATAACATGCGAATTTTCATCCAAAATTGTTCTTTCTCAAATGTTGAAAATTTTTTTTTCAACAAGAAAATTACTGTGAGAGAAATTTTGGTTATTATTTACAAGCGGGGTCAACCCCATTTTGGGTCATAACTATGTGAAAAATTAACATTTTTTTATTTTTTTTTTATTCTGTTTTTTTTTTTACGGCGCATTTGTGATAAAAAATGTCGTGAGAGGAAAAAATAAAGATTTCGATATCTTTTTGGCCTTTAAAAGTTGGAAAAAAATGGCTTCTATGTTTTTGGATAAAATTTCTATTTTACCTTTTTTTGATATATTTTTTGTGAATAGTACACAAAAAAAACGAACAATTATAAAAAAAAAAAATAATTTAACATGGGTTGAGCCCACTTGTAAATAATTACCAAAATTTTTATTGCTTCAGCTAAGAAATAAAATTGTTCAAAATTTTTAACAAATTAATTTCTTATAACAACATTGCTCATTTTTTCAAAAGAAAATTTTTTTCTGTCTACTGAAAAAATTTTATTTTATTTTAAAGTAAATATTTACATAATTTAATTGTCAATATACTTTTGTGCGCTAGTATCTTAATATTTTAATAATTTATTAAATTTATTAAATAAAAAATATTACCAATTTTAACACCACCAGCCATAGTCAGTAGAACATTTCCAGCTTTTAAATCTCGATGAATTATTTTCGATTTATGTAAAAAAGTAAGGCCTTTGGTCATTTGTTGACATACATAGGATACTTGGGGCTCAGTCAATGGTTTTTCTAATTCAACCATTATCGAATCAACAGCACCACCGTCGCAGTACTCAATTAACATCTAAATTAAAAATTATTTTTATTTAAATGATTAATAACAGAAAAAATAATGACAGTTAAAATTATAATTATGTAAATTAATAGAAATGTTTTAAGAAATTTACCCATAATTTTCCATCGATAAAATAGGCTTCGTGTAATTCAACAACATTAGGATGTTTACACTCCGATAAAATATCGATTTCTATCATAAAATCACTCAAATCGTCTTCGCCTTCCAGTGCACACATTTTTGCAGCAGCCAGCTGTTGCGTCTGTTTATGTTGCGCCTAAATAAAAAAAATTACATTTTATGGTAATTTATTAAAATGATTATTTTCAATTTTAAATACTAGAAAAATTATTTAGTACATTAAATAATACTTCTATAAACGGATTATTGGGTGACACAAATTTTAAACTTTAATTGAATAAATATTTGTAACATAAAATAGCTTAGATGCGAACGAGTACTAGATAAGGTTTCTGAAAGATATCGATCTGATAGTTAATTGGTTTGATGAACTCGAAAGAGGATTTAAAAAACAAATTTAAATGCTGAAATAAAATAATGATCTAGTTTAAAATTTACCTTGTAAACTTTACCAAAAGCACCGTCTCCGAGTTCTCCAATCATGTCCCAAAATTCAGAAGGGTCACAATCCATTTTTATGTTATTATACAGCTTTTTCTTTTTAGCATCATTTCCACCGAAGTGGAATGCTTTTTTCAGATTCGATAGAAAAGACATTTTTTGTTACTTTTTTTTTACTTAAAAAATCCAAGTGAAAATATGAATTAAAAAAAAATAAATATAAAAAAAATGTCTCTTAGTTATTTCTCTTATTCTTGTTTTTTTGTCCTTAAATAATTTTATATTTAATTATTTTAGATCCCTGGTAGCCTCCAAGGGATCACATTTAACACCTCCCGCATCTTGACACTTTAAATCGACAATATTATTCAGATAAATGTCGATGTTTTCTTCAATTTAATGTCGATACTTGAAGAATCCATTCTATAAAATAATTGAATTTTTCTGAAATAAATTACCGGTATTAGTAATTTAATTAAAAATGACTATTTTTAACTAAAAAGAAAGCAAAAGTACTACAAAAATTTCCATTAGTAATTTTATTTTTAAATTTCTATTTCTTTATAGAGAAAACGGGGACATGGAACATCCGACATTCCAGCAAGAGAGACCACTGTGCCTTTACTTTTCCTATTAGTTTATATCGTTCGAAATTCGGAGTATAATTAATTGCTTTTCAATCATTCATGTTAATTGGGAAATTAAAATTTATCAAGCTCATTTTTTTTTATAAAAAAAAATTTTTTTTATAAAAATAATTTTTTTTTTTGATTTGCAAAATTTTCAGTTTTAAATTAAAATTTATTTTATATTTTAATTTTTTTTTGTCTCGAGCAAAATGTAAATTTGTAATTTTTTATTATAAGATGACTTATTTTTTAAATTATCAGATGGATAATTTAATTACACTGAAATTAACAGACATCCGTCAATTTTTTATAAGATTATACCAAAAAAATTACAAGTTAAAATATTTTTTTCTTACAATTGATTTGTAATAAAAAGATATATTTTATTAATTTAATAATTGACAATTTTATCATATTTTAATTATTGTGAGATGATACTAGAAACAGAAGAAATTTTAAGCCGTATGAATGCCGAAATTATTATACATAAATTTGACAGTTGATATTTGTAATTGAGTACCTGAGGAAGCTGCGAAACGTTGTATGAAAATTAAATAAACATCAAATATTAAATATCTTTAAAAGAAGAACCTATTGAATGTATTATAGAAATAATTTAGTTTCACATGAATTAAACATTGAAATTCAGGAGAAATTAGAAAAATTTTTTTTAACATTAACATTACGAGTTGAAATGGATCACTGATCAAAAACGTGGTCAGCATAACTTGACCAAATAATGATCTAATCAGTAAAAGTACACAATAGCCTCGTAACATAAATAATGCAAAGGATAATTTAACAAATTGGATTTTCAAAAATAAAAAAATCCGATTAAAATTAAATGACACCTGACCATTTTTTTATTTATGATCATAATTTATTGCTGAGATAATATTTTTAAAAAATCACATTCATAGTTTTTTAAATTTTTAACTGTAAAATTTTTTTATGACATTAAAGTTAGCTGCCACTTGACCATTTTTTAATTTTATATAACAAAAAAATTTTTACCGAAAAATTATTTTTAACAAATTGCATTTTTAATTTATTAAAATTTCTAAATGTCAATTTTTTTTATTTTTTCTGCTAAATTAATTTTTATAATTTTTTTTTACATTATATTTGTCTATTAAAAAAAATTACAGTAGCTGTTAGATGCCTGCCAATTTCAGTGTAGAAGAAATTCAAGATTCTAATCAGAAAATGGCATACAATTGCATTTAAAATACTTTTTAATTATCAAAATACTTGATTGATTTTCACATTATTACTAAATTATTTATTTTTATTTATAAATTGGACTATTTTTTATCATTCTAACAAAATTGACTTTTTAAAAAAATATATTTATTTATTTATTGTAGCTACTGAAGAAATTGCATGGCATGAAAGTTACCTGTCACTTTATTTTTTAATTTTATTCAACAAACAAATTTGTTATAAAAAATAATAGTTAAAAAATTGCATTTTCAATTTCTACATGGCAATTTTTTTTTAATTTCTTTGCATTAATTTATTTGAAAAAAAAAATTCTAAAAATTCCAGCCTGACTTCTTAATAATTTACATTAAAAGAAAAACTCTTCCTACAATTTCAATAATTAGTGTAAAAAAAAATTTCATATAATTTTTTATGATATTGAGATTAAAAGACATTTGATAATTTTGAGAATTTTTGTAATAAATTAATTATGGCAAAAAAAATTTATAAAAAAAAATTATTATTTATCTTTAAAAAATTATAAATGCAACTTTTTAAAAATATTTTTTTAGATTTAATTTTTTTTTTCAAGAAAAATCAAAAACTTATCAAAAACCATTAAAACACTTGCTATTAACCAAAACTTAAATACTACTTTCATCTAAAAAAGTGAAAAATTTGACATTTAATGTAACAAAAATAATAAACCCCATTAAATTAAATATCTAATTGGAGTAAAAGTAAAAATTTCACAAAAATTTTTCTAATTATAAATTTTTTGATTTTTAATTTCTCGATAATTATTTACTGTTTATTTTATTATTAGCTACCTCTGAATCATATTGTGAGATAAGAAATCTCATGATGACAACAGATTAAAGATTAAAACTTGTAAAAATGACAATAGAGAATTTAATAGTAAATAATAACATAAGTAAGATTAAATTGTTAAAGATTGAAAAAAATATTATTAATTATTTACAGCAATAATTTAAAAGGGACTAATTAAACAAAATCAACAATTATTAAATTAGTGGATTAAAATCGGGCGCGTCCTCAAACAACTTCAAAAAATAGTTTCGTAGAAAATAATTAGCAACACTGAAAATAAAAAACAAAATATGTTTATTATTCTAGATCAAAATAATAAATATCAAAAAATACATACTGTAAAAATAAAAAACTACAAAAATAAAAATTTTAAATTCAATTCACCAGACTATTTTTTTTTTCCAAGTGAAAGGTTGTAAGAACTAAAATATCATACCTTATTCTTATCTAGTGAGTGTACCGTTTAATATTCACATTAGATATATCATTAAAACTGAGAGATAAACGATTTATTTATAAAGCATACACTGAAGAGAATGATGTAATTATCACTGCATAGATATTTTAATAACTATAACTTAATTAAATCACTAAAAGTGGGGTATTAAGCACATAATAAAACAAATTATAGTTGTGTCGTCTGGTTAAGCACGGCCATTTTAATGGTAATCCATACACGACGGAGCGACACGCCTGGTTATAGAGAGAGACTGATACGAGATGGCTGAGCTCCATTATCAGAACTGACCGCATTTGCTTCCGATAAATTCCGCTCGCGCGCTCTGGTAGTCTAAGGAGTCATCTGAGTGATCCGAACGGAAATGTAGCCAATGTAATAATTGTAAAGAAATTCAAAAAGTAACTTGCTCTTTAACAAGTTATATACATTTAATACTTCATACATAACACTTAATATATGTCAAATAATAGTAAATTCTATATAATAAAATACACACATTAAAACATTTAAATATCATATTTATGAAAAAAATTAAACTGTAACCCATGAAACATTACAAAAGAACGACAATTGATCTGTCTTCTAAGTCTTTTAAGTCATAAGTAAGAAATTAGTTGTCGGTAAGGTAAATGCAATAAATGATAGCGGGAAAAACCCAGTAAGATTTAAAATGAGCGTGTTCAGCCGAACTAAGTCCTGAGTAAACTTAGTTAGCCTAAGTATAGTCAAAGCATTCCCTGCTATACATATATCTATCTACTATACTATACATATCTTACTAAGTTTACTCAGGACTTAGTTCGGCTGAACACGCTCAATATATGTATTTATTTGTAATAATATTAGTAAGAGAAATAAGAATCTTTCAAATATCGTAAACCTTTCTATTTTAAATTCTATTGTTAAATATGGGAATTTTTCTATCATAAATTTTAGGGTATAGACGAATTTATAATCTGAACAAAAACAGTTTCACTGTAATAAATTGCGCCAAGTACACGTTCACAACTTTTGATTTACCAAAATACCAATGAGAAATTATCACTTTACAAAAAGACGTAAAATCAAAAAAAAACAGACCAAGTAGCCGTTATGATTTTTAATAATTGAAAAAATTTTGTAGTAAATTTAACAATTAAAAACAATTTTTTCAACGTACTTGGCGTGCGTCATTTAGTACCCCAAATTTTTTCATATCTGATAACTAAGGGCAAAGAACTTATGTGAAAAGTAATTTTAGGGACTAATTTTTTTTTTTTTTTTTTTTTTTAATTCTATAAAACAATTCTATTTTAATTCTATTAAAAACAAACTGTTCTTTAACTTGTTTCAGTTTAAACTATTATTTATTTATACACCTTCTTAACATTTATCAATAATTACGTTCTTTTCATATGAATATTATAAAACAAACAATTATTTTTTATATCTATGTAATTAGAATAACATAAGAAGAAAAAATTATTCATTTAAATATAATTCGTTTAAATTTAGATTAAAGTTAAAAAAATATAGGAATATCATATATAATTAGTAAGTTCAAAAATATTAAAAAATTAAAAAAAAAAAAGATTTTTTTGTTCCTTTAATATTGATAAATTTTGAGAAAGTGTATAGATGAATAATAGTTTAAGTTGAAACAAATAAAAAATAGTTTGATTTTAATATTTTATATAATTAACAAAAAATTACTTTATAAAGAATAATAAATAATTTCCCATTAAATAAGCGATTTTTTGTTTTATTTTAGTAATCAATATTTGTATATTTTAATAAATAAAAACAATAAATATTTTCAAGAATAATTATTTTTATTTAGAATAAAAAGTTTGTGTTTGAATTTAGATTATATAATTTAAATTTCCTTCACCGCCAGTTACCTAAAAAAATTTACCTTACCGACACTAATTTCTTACTTATGACTTAGAAGACTTAGAAGACAGATCAATTGTCGTTCTTTTGTAATGTTTTATGGGTTACAGTTTAATTTTTTTCATAAATATGATATTTAAATGTTTTAATGTGTGTATTTT